TAGATGTTGTTATTACTGCTCCTACAATTCCAATTTTATCCTATAAAAAAGGGTGATGGTGTTGGATGGGGCCAGGAGTTGCATTGGAAAAGTATCTCTTGTTGCCTTTCTCTCCATTGGTATCTTGTCCACTCAAGGGTGACAGGAGTCAGCAGTAGTGTCCAGGAGCATTGGTAGTATCTTGTTTCTTAACGTTTTTAGGGCTTACTAGCTTTTCTTAACAATGCACTTTCCTTCCATTTTTCATAGGCTGTTTATTTATTCTATGGGACCAAAGATTGTTTAGTGCAAGAATGCAAAGATTTGAATAAAAAAGTTGAGGTAAGCTACACCTTTTCTAAAATGTTAGGTAGTCTCTGGATTATGAAGGTTGTTTTGTTTTGTTTTTAATAAAAATGCTGATTTTTTCTATTAACACATTTTACTCCCATATACAGGGTATTTCTTGTGTGGTAGGCACTTTGCTAAGTGCTTTATATACATTATCTCCGTAAACTCACCACAGCCCTGTGAAACAGGTACTAGTGTATTCTCATTGTACAGAAGAAAGTGGAAACTGAGGTTTGATAAGAAGTCATTTGCCCCTGTTTCCTTAGTGACGTACCAGAATTGGAATCCAGATTTGTCTGTCTCACTCCAGAAAGAGTCTGCTGTTGAGCTCTCAGTGAAAGGCCTCCCCTCACCAGAGCTGAGGCTGGAGAGAGAGGCAGCCCAAAGCACACAGGCTGTCTTGGCCTGTTAACATCTTGAGCACGTTAAGAACGTGAGCATTGAGTCACGCCAATGAAAGACTGTGATTAGCAGGTGACAGACTAACATTTATAAGTGTGAACCCAACCACTGAGTTAGGGATGAGTCAGGAGAGTCAACTAGAGGCAGATAGGCCAGCTTGGTATATTCTAAGGAAGATGTTTGGTAATGGTGTTCTGGGCTCGAGGGATATTTAGAAAGTAGTGTCAGCTGTTTGTAGTGATTGATTGGATGTGGAGGATCAAGGCCAAGAAGTCAAGGATAACTCCAGGCTTCTGGCTTGGGCAGCTGAGGGGATGGTGCTGCTGCTCCGTGAGATGTAGGCAGCCGCTGGGAGAGGTGCAGAAGGTTGCTGAGCGCAGTTTTGTTCCGAGGAGCTGGAGGTGCTGCAGCCTGTGAAAGTGTCTTGGAGACAGATCTAAGTACAGATTGGGCTCAAGTGACTTTCCTGGACCAGCATGATAGGTGTAAGAACTGAAAAGGATTGTCGTCAACATGCTGATGACAGTGACTGAGGAGGGACCTCCCAAGAAGCAGGATCTGTGGGTCCCAGGAAACAGAGCGTCCTTCAGGTGCTCCTGAAATAGCACCTTTGGAAGGGCCTAGAATTACTGGAGTTAAGAAAAGGGACATCTTTGATGACCTTGATGAGAAGAGTTCCCCGGGGGAGATGGGACAGACCAGATTGCCTCGAGTCAGAGGTAACAAGGAGTCTTCCCTTGCTTGCTGTGGGCTATAGCTGCAGCTCTCGCCCTCCATAAGCATGTGTAAAGCCAGGGGATATGTCTGGAAGTGGTGTGCCTCGTGGTAACTCTCCACTTGTATTTCTTTAAAGCTAGAACTGGACGGTGAGCGAGTAGAGCTACCAGATTTGGAAGGCATTATAGTTCTGAACATTGGCTACTGGGGCGGAGGCTGCCGACTCTGGGAAGGGATGGGTGATGAGACCTACCCTCTAGCCAGGTGTGTACCTCTGTGATCTCTTTCTGTGTCTGAGTTTCTTTACGGAAGTCTAGTGTTGTTTATGAATTTTTTCCTAAATTTTCTTTTATGTAAATAATTAAGGAAGCAGGGGGAATGGAAATGGAGAGGAAGTAGGATAAGTGATGTTATGTTGTGGCGATTGCAATCAATGACATAAAACAAAATGTGTCTGAAGTATTGAATGGAAAACTAATCTACTCTGTACACTGTCTCCCAATTCATAATAAGTTAAAAATAAATCAGTATAAGCTAATGGTCCACATATGTTAAAAAGGACTTGCCCCCCTAGCATTGCTGATTAGATGTTCTTGCATCCCATGGCCCATATGTCCTTTTTTGGACTTTAGGCATGATGATGGTTTACTGGAAGTCGTTGGAGTGTACGGGTCTTTCCACTGTGCTCAGATTCAGGTGAAGCTGGCAAATCCCTTTCGAATCGGACAGGCACACACAGTGCGGGTAGGTGAAAACTGCTGTCCCAGGCTGGTTAGTCCCAGTTCATTTCTAAGTCCTTGATATGCAGAAGACACGCATGCTCTGACTGTTCTTATGCAGTATTCAACTGCACGCGCTGTTGCCCACCCTGGACCAACAGCTTGAGAGGATGGGAAAGAGACAAGAGGCACGGCCCTCCATCCGTTCAAGAAATAATGCACTCATTGATGGAGAAGGATAGATAAATATAGATTAATTCTAAAAATGAAATGCAGAAGGGTTAGGGTCTGTGAGTGAGATTATTGAGGAAGACCTCTCTGAACTCTGATGCTGTTCAGTATTGTTAAGTACCTACAGAGGGCTTCTAAGGAGTGGCTGGTGAGTTTGAACCACCAACCTTGTAGTTAGCCCACAGCAAGACTCCCAGAACTCTGATAGATTGTATTTTTCTGTTTGTTCCCTGAAACCAGCTGATTTTGAAGTGCTCAATGATGCCGATGCAGGTGGATGGTGAGCCATGGGCACAGGGGCCCTGCACGGTCACCATAACACACAAGACGCACGCCTTGATGTTGTATTTCTCTGGAGAACAGACAGATGATGAGGTCTCTAGTACTTCGGATCAAGAGGACATAAAGGAAATTGAATAGGTGAATGGAGAATCGAAAACTTGCTGTAGAATCCCCACAGACAAGCAGATGAAACAGATTTGCCCCAAATTAGTAATTCTCTCTCAGCTCTTCCTCTTCATTCTTCATTTCATCTGTAAATGGCATTCCAAAAACAACCAGACTTGCAGTGATTTATAAAAGCTTGTTCTGTTTTCAGCAAAATGCTTTGATTATGAAGTACTAACTTTTAATAAGTCATGAAAAAGTTACACTAAGCTGAAATGTATTTTTCACGGTTCTGTTTTCAGAGTGGGGCACACTCTGAAGGATGCACTGGCTTAGTCCTTATTCTAGAACCAGGCGTTTCATGGACACATTATGCACCCAGCAAAGTGTGGGTGGAGACTCACTTTAATGTGCTGACACTGTGGCGTTTTAATGATGCACTGGGGGAAGGGCATGGTGATTGATGGGTAAGCTGCAAGACTTAACACTAGCCTCTCAGCTGCAGCAGGGCTCCCAGGGCAAACACTGCGAGGGCCCAAACAGACCAATTGCCAGGAACCCCTGAGAGGAGAAGCGTGAGCGAGCCAACACTTAAATGTGTAGTATGATTTTTATTTTAGGCTCACTTTCAGAGTCACAAATGTAGTTTGCATAACCTTATTAATAACTATGTTGAGTTGTATCTTTTGTATAATCCCAATATAGCCAAAAGAAAACCAGATAGGCAAATTAGTTTACAATTAAGATTCAGGGCACTGTTATGAAGGGGCTTCAAAACATTTGTGGAAAAATTCCCTTATCTTTTAATTTCGCTTTTTCCACAAACTTTGTGAAGTGTCCCCCCTCATAAGCTGGGTAGTTCACCAACTTCTCTATAAAAAGATAGTAACAATTACTTTTCAGTGTTCTAAAGAAAATTACCAACTCGTCAGATTAACTGCTAAAAAAACAAAAATGTAATACTTGATAAGCTGTAGAAATTCAGTGGTCTAGTACTTTGAAATAAAGTAGTGCTTTGCATTTTAAGCTGATGAAATTGCCCCCTTGGTTTGAGGTTGGGGAGGAAGGTATACTGAATCCTCTGCTAAAATGTTTGTCATATTTGCTTTAAAGTGAAAATGTATTTTCTGTACTTATTTATTGTTTGCCTTGGCGATGATTGTTGTTGTTGTTCTATGTGCCATGGAGTCGGTTCTGACTCATAGCAACCCTGTACAGGGTTTCCGAGGCTGTAAATCTTTATGGGAGCAGAAAGCCTCATCTGCCTCACGTGGAACAGCTGGTAGTTTCAAATTGCTGACCATGAGATTAGCAGCCCGATTCATAACCACTGTGCTACCAGAGCACCTTTTGGCTATATACCACCTGTGTTTAAATGTTTTCAGTTTATAATTTTATTAAGTTAATCAGATTAAATTCTAGTTGCAATCAAATGGAAAACCTATTGACTTAGTCATTAAAGTCCAGAATTTAGTTTTCCCAGAAGAGCCTCACTCTGCAGAAACATTGCTCGGTCTTTTTTTTTTTTTTTTTTAAAAAAAAAAAACAAACCAGAAGGTACTGGCAAACTACTTTTGTAGTGCTGACTTTTTTATCCCTGTGTTTTATTTGCCCTTCAATTACAACAAAGTATCAAAGGGCTAGTTTCATAATTACCCACAGGTGCTCTTCTATTGTTAGCTGGCCCGCCCTGATGTTGCAGATTCATTGGGCATCCAGCCTGGTATTTTCCTGACAGATGGCTTGTTTGTGGATTTAGCTGTCTTTCATGACATTAATCTCTAACCAATTAGAATGTGTCCCCAAAGCACCATTAGTGTCCCTTAAGAATCTGTTAGGGATCTATCATCCATTAATTGTCATAAACTTAAAAATGAGTCACCTTTAAGCCTGGGCCATCTTCTAAAGGAACAGCTTATATTAGTTAGTACATTATATGAAATACTTGTATTTTACTTAAAGTACCTCTCCCAGGTCTGAACAAGTGATGCTTAATCCCAGCACTGAAAGCTTGTTTCCAGTTTTACCCACACCCTCTCCGGGCAGACAGCCTTTTACTGCAATGGTGGGAAAGCTTTGCAGACTTTGTTTTATGGGCAGACCATGCTTTATATGTAATTAGATTTATCCTTTTTAATTTATGGGCACATTTTTTATATTTTATAAGTACACCATTAAATTCACTTTTCTTTAGGTTGTATTTTGTAATTCCTAGTGCTAATTATAGAAACAGTAAATAGTTTGTTTGGGATATCAGACCAAAAAATCATCAAAATAAGTATTTTTTAATTGCTGAAACTGTACTTCAAGAAGAATATTACATTGAATTTAGTATAGTAAGTGAAACATATTTGTCCCAAATTAGCAATCCATCCCAAATACAACTCCTGATTTAGTTAAACAAATTGATTTTGCAGATATAACCCCTTGCGGCTTTTTCCTTCCCAACCCTTCATGTGGTTTTTCTGCTTCCCTATTCACTCATTCAGACCTGGTTTTTATTGTTTTGTCGTTAAATGCTGTTGAGTCCATTCTGACTCCTAGCAACCCTGTAGAGGGTTTCTGAGGAGCGGCCCATGAGTTTGAATTGCCAACATTTAGCAGTCCAGTGCTTATCATACAGCACCACACCAAGTTATTTCACAATACCATATATCTTGATTTAGCACATTTCACTTACATTATTAAGTATATTTACCCAGAATTTCAGATAAACTGTAGGCTCATGCCTTGCTTTAAATAAATGCAATTTATTGATAAAATTCATATTTGCAAGTTAAATACTTGCATCCAAGTTCATGGAAAAACAGAATTTAAAGATAATGGAATTTGTCCACACTTCTGGAAGCACCCTCATATTTTCTGGTAATCGTTTGCATTACCAGAAAATCTACACTTATGTGTAGGTTTATAATTTATGACAGTATTTTCCTGTTCCATTTTAACCTATTTTGGCTTATTTAAAAAAAAAAAAATTCTCAGGAAGAAATACAGACTTAAAGCATACCTCCGTATCTGTTGTGAGCTTTTGCTCGTCCTTCGTTGTCCTAGCACTTTCCCAATTCCCTATAAACCTAGTGGCTTCAATCCTGAATACATGGCAGCTCTAATACATCCCATAAGTAGATGAGATGGTTCTCAGTGCTTCATTATGGGTAATAGACTGACTCAGAGCTTCATTGTGTGCAGTACAGCTTCTCTAATAACAAGACTGTGTCATCTAAATGTGTTTTAGGTTTTCTGCAACGATTAGCTGTGAACCCTTAATGTAGCGAATGTTTATAAAGATTTTATAGTTGAGATTATTTATTTTTATTTTTTTAGATTGTATCATAAAATGTTCAGTATTTGCTGTCTGAAATACATTTGCTTCCTTGATATTGTAAAGTATACTGTGATTCTCAAGTTGTCCTTTTTACCCTGTAAAAATGACTACCAACGTGTCAGAAGAAACATAACTTGCATTTGTGATGTAAAGTTAAAATTGTATATTATACATTTTTTAATTTGCACTATCTAGAAAACTTTGAAATTATATTAATTTGCAGATTAATGTGGATCCGAATACATAATTTGTACTTGTTTAACCAAAAAGGTCAGTAGAGTTGATGATGAATACTTTTGTAAGTTTTCCTTCAAGATGCTAGTATTAAAGCAAGAACCAGCACTTTATATTATATTCAGAAATGTTTTTTAAACTGTCTGATTTGACATAATGGAACGTATGTAAATTTATGAAAAGTACTTAGAAATTTAAAAAGTTTTGTTAACTTTGTCTCAAACTGAATGAAAATACATTCTCAGCAACAAGATGGCGTAAGTGACTTGGGTTTTGCTTTTTTGTTTATTTTGGTTGTTTGGTTGGTTGGTTTTGCTTTTTAAAAGCTGCCCCTTCCTCTCTCAGATTTCTCTTTAAAAATGCCTGTGTCCTATTTCTCGAAATGTGACCTGAAGCTAGGCTCTCCGCAGCCCCCTAATCATCTGGGAGTCCCGGGCCCAGCCCCTGACTTAGTAAATCTGTGTCTGCTGTGTCCACAAGCACCTCAGCTGAGTCTGAGGCCCTCTGGCCCGTGAGCACTACTGATCTGTACTTCCTGGGTCTCCCAGGCTTTTGGCCAAATGGAGACCATACAGGCAAATTGAATTAATTAGATGTTCTTAAAATTGTGTTTCGTTTACTCCACTAACCATCCTCTTCTCCCCAGTTCATTCTTTCAAAAAAAAACCTTTGAAAACCTATTCTCATTCTATCCAAATTGATGTCTTGATCTAAATCCTGCTATATAAAAATTGGCCACCTCCTTTTTGTGTAGAACTGTAGTTTTTGGACTGATTCTGGAGGCCCAAAGAGTTGCTTTCAGAACTAGTGGATGGACCACTAGGGGCAGCGAGCAGTGGCCCCTCTGCTTTC